GTGGCTGGTGGGTTTGAACCACCAGCCTTCTGGTTAGCAGTCAAGTGCTTTAGCCACTATGCTACCAGAATTATGTGGCCTGAAAATGCAATTGTTCTGAAGTTGAGAATCAGTGTTTTATTGGAACACAGCCATGCCCATTTGTTTATAAATTGTCTATGGCTGCTTTACGAGTTCTGGTGGTGCAGTGCTTAAGGCATCTGACTGGTGAGCAGAAGGTTGGTGGTTCAAACCCACCAACCACTCTGCGGAAGGTTAACCTGCTTCCATAAAGATTTACCATGTTGTAGACCAAATGAGGGTCACTATGAGTTGGAGTGGACTCGATGGCAGTGAGTTTGTTTTGTTTGTTTGTTTGTTTGTTTTATGGCTGCTTTGGTGGTACAATGACAGAGATGAGTAGCTGCAACAGAGACTAAATGGCCTGCAAAGCCTGATAATTACTATCTGACCCTTTACAGAAACAGTTTGGTGACCCCTGCTCTATGCTAATTCCTATTCTCTATGCTGCTCACTTCCAACCTGAAGTACAGTATGCATCTCTGGAATCTATACTGTAAAAGGGGTAATGACCAATTGAAGCATGATCAGAGAGTGGGCCAGTTAGTATGGTGACTCAGAAACATCTTCAATAAGAAGCAAGTGGAAGGAGCACTGCAGATAAGAGAAAATTGAGGGACAATCTGAGCATTGTCTTTAAGCATCAGAAGGGCTGGCAAGCAGTAAAGGCAATTAACTTGTTCTCTGTGGTCTTATGGGTAAAATCGGCACTCCCACTCCTGGATAGAGTGGGAGGAAAAACGTGGAACAAAATCCAAAAACACAATAATGACCAGAATTACTGGTCAGATGGAGTGTGGTGAGACCCCCAGTACTATGGCCCTGGGATGCACTTCGAGCCTGGAATAAAACTCACTCCCAGGGGCTGGCTGTCAGCCCAATAGTAAATAAGATGTACATGCAGACCACTCGACCCAGGGTGATGCACCCACATACTCTATGGAGATGCATCCCTTGGAGCAATGGACCATGGGGCACCAGAGGGGCAACATTCACACGGAGGAAATGCAGGACACACTGGAGTGCATAACTATGAGGGGCATGGAGTAGGGTGTTACTGGGCAGGGAGAGGAGGAGACTGGGTTAGGGTTGGGGATGGTAGTTGGGGAGTGAAACTAAATGCACATGAAATGTTGGATGTAAAGGGAACTCTGCTCTGTGAACTTACACCTAAAGCACACACACACACACACACACACACACACACACATTGGCACTATAAGGAAGGTGGGAGTTGAAGGTGCTTAGATGTAAGGTCTGCCTCCGGAAGCATGGAGGCCCTCCTCATGGACCAGGGGAAGCAGAGGATTGGCAGCCAGTTGGGAGGCTGCAGAAGAGATTCAGGTGGGGGGGTATAGAGAGAGGTACGAAGTGACCTTTGAAAGTGTACTTCTTCTATGAGATTCTGTGAGTCTCTGCTATATACTGACCGCAGAGCTAATAAATGATGGGATTGATAGTTCATATACAGAAATGCACAAACTACGATAGTAATTTGCATGATAAAATAACAAAATGAATTTTTAAACCTGGTGTTTTGTCTGCGGAATTCATATCATTTATAGTTTGCCTGGACAGGTGTAACTTAATTTTAGTCATATATTGGAAATAAACTAGGGAATTTTTCCATTTCCCACATATTTTCAGGGGAAAGATTTTTTTTTTAAATTGTGATTTGGGTCAAAACAGAGCAAATTCGTTTTCCACTCAACAGTTCATACACATTTTGTTTCGTGACATTATTTGCAATCCCCGCAATATAGCAGGTCTTCCCACTTCCTCCCTGTGGTTACTGTTTTTGCCCCTGTGTCTTTGTTTCCTATGTATCCCTGCCCTCTGAGCTCTCTTCTTGTGCAGGTTCTGCCCTTCTGATCTCCCGTGGTTGGTCACTCTAAGGAGTGGAACTGCCTGGCATAATTGTTCACCTCGTAGGCCTGCCTATCGTTTGGCTGCCAGTTGAGTGGCAGGGGTCAAGTTCAGTTCCTAGCTTGAAGAGTGTCTAAGGGCCATAGTCTTGGGGGTCCACCAGTCTTCAGCAGACCAATAAGCTTGGTCTTTTGTATGATTTTGAGTTTCGTTCCACATTGCCCCCCAGTCTACCCAGGACCTCTTATTGTGATCCCTTTCAGAGTGCCCAGCTGTGGTAGCAGGGTACTAGCTCATTCTTACGGTCTCAGGGCCATATAGACTGAGGTTTCTTGGACTAATTGTTTCCATGCATCTTTGATTTTCTTCACTTTTCTTTGCTATGGATGAGGAGAGACCATTTGTTGCATCTTAGATAGCCATGCACAAGCTTTTGAGACCCCAGTTGCTGCTCAATAAAGTAGGATGTAGAGCAACGTTTTTGTGTAGTATGTTATGCCAATTGACATTGATGTCTCAGGGAAAAGATACTGAAATCAAAATGCTTCCATGCACTTCAAAATATTTGTTGAGTGCTTCTAGTGTTCTAGGGACAATAGTAGGCTGTGGCAATGGACCTGTGAAGCAACAGGAGTAGTTTCTCTCCTAACAGAGCTTAATATCTTTTAGGAAAATAACAGTTGACAAACAATTACAATAAAATACATACTGTGTCTTGTGTTAGATGGCCCTCAATGAGACGGATTGACATAGTGGCGGCAACGATGGGCTCAGGTATAGCAAGGATTGTGAGGCTGGCGCAGGACCAGGCAGTGTTTCATTATGTTGTATGTAAGGTCATTGTGAGTTAGAGCTGACTCAATGTCACCTAACAACAACAACAACCCCCAGTAAGATTCGGAACAAGGAGAAAAAAAAAAATAAAAGTTAGGAACAGGGTAAAGATGCCAGCTATCACTACTTCTATTCAAAATTGTACTATAAGCTCTAGTTGTACAATAAGGCAAGGAAGAAAATAAAATCAACAGATCAAAAAAGAAGAAATAAACAGTCTTTATTGGTATAGGACATGATTGTCTATGTAGAAAATCCTAATGAATCTACAAAAAAATGTGGCAGGATACAAGGTCTCTTGACAAAAAGTAGTCATATTTTGAGATAATAACAGCAAATAAATGGACATTTAAATTGAAAAACTATAAAATATGAAATTTATAGAGATAAAACTAACAAGAGTTAGATATGACCTATACACTGAAAAGTGCCAAATGCTGGTGAAAGATTTTAAAGAAGACACATAAATGGAGGTACAGAACGTGTTCATGGATCAAGATTCAATATTAAGATGTCCATTCTCCTATCAATGTATAGATTCAATAAATTCCCAATCAAAGTTCCAACAGGAATTTTGTACAAATTGCCAGCCTGATTCCAAAATCTGTATGGAAATGTGAAAGCCCTACAATAGCCAAAACAACTTTGAAAAGGATGGACAAAATTGGATGAGTTGCTGTAACTGATTTTAACTCTATTGTTAAATGCTTCAGTAATCAAGGCAGTGTGATATTGGCATAAATACCACACATAGCTCAATGGAAAAGAACAGATTACAGAAACAGATGCATGCATAAAT